CTTCCTACCCTCCGGCAGATCAACACTTCCCCCCAACTTGATGTCATCTGCGAATTTAGTAAGAGTAGACTCAATCCCCTCATCCAGGCCATCACTAAAGGTGTTGAACAGGACTGGGCTCAGTACTGATCCCTGGGGGACACCACTGGTCACTGGATGTATTCACAGAAGTTAAGAATTAAGGTTGTGAATTAGCAAAATAGTTTTTAACACTTGCCGAACTATATGCAAGTAACTCTGTGCGTAACTAATAGAAAGTGGCTCTTGGTTTTACATTAAATCAAGACCAGGACTCTTCATAGTAGGAAACATTGTTTCTATGAGCAGCAAAATAACTAAGATTGATTTTTATGTCTTTGAACCTTTCAGTTGAACTGCAGGACTGTCATAACCTTCACGAAATGTTTATGGCCACATGTTCATGTACTCGATGGCACCAGCAGCTCCCTGTCCCTTTTCTGCCGGTTTGGTTTATCGTCTGTGCTCCAAGAGGGTTTGGAGGAGCTCTGTGGCTATTTTCTCATAGCTGTTGTTGCTGGGCGGTGCAGCCCAGCCTTTAGCTGCTCAGCAGCTGTCAGAAAGGACAAGAAAAGTGACTTGAGGAGCTGCAGGCATTCTGTGGGGAGGTTACTGTTTTAAGCTTTCAGTCTCCTGGCAAATTTGGTTGCAAAAGTTGAGGGCATAAAACATCAGCAGACATTCAGTCATGTTCTTTTGTGTCCATCTGCTTCAGTCTTAATTAGAAAACAAAACCCAAAAAGAAAGAAACAAAAAACCTCAAATAAACCTGCTTCCCCCCTTACCCCCCAGCAAAAGCTAAAAATAAATATTGAAAAATCTTTTCTTGTGGCTTTCATTATATCTCTGGGACACCACTTGAAAAAATGAAGAAACAACCAAAACTCAAACGAACACAAATTCCAACTGAATAAACAACCAACACTCAACTGTGCATCTTCTTCCTTTGCACTTTTTCATATAGTGGTAATTTTGTGTGTTCTTTTCTCATGTGAGATAACTCATTAAAAAATAAACTTTCTTTTCTGACTATGCTTTGCTGCATTTGGCTTTCCTGATGTTTCATTGTCAAGTTTGCGCATTTTGTAGTACTAAGTGATAAAAATTACTTAAAATGTAACATCTTACATTCTATAAATTTTAAATGTGATGTATCGTACTAATATGGGGACAGTTAGGAGGAAAACAGAATTCATTGTTCTGCTTGCATGTGAAGAATGTATGGAATTAATTTGTGGTTCGTATTTTGGTTAAAAAGTAAGGTCAAGTTTCTGCATTAGCATTCTGACCAGTTGATATCATTCCAGCTAAAAATCATGCCAAATTAAATGTAGCATTCTCTAATAATGGTGAAAATGATTCTTGTAATGTCTGACTTCTTTTAATCAATTAATTGCTTTTCCTCTACAATAATTGCACACAGCTGAAGGGTGATCAGTAATTTTTTTCATCCAATTTTCTAGGACATTTTGGATTACAAAATTTAAATTTGAAACAACATTCATGTGTATCCACTCTTGAAAATAATGAGAGCTTGTAGATGTTTTTATATAAAAGTTAGAATTTGAACTATTTAAGATGCTCAACATAAGTATTTTTTTAATGCAAAACGTAACACCTTCACTATGTTGTGCCACTTGTCTCCGTTTTCTGAGCTGCAGCTTACATGCTTTTTAACCTGAATGTTTGTTTTACCACTTAAAATTTTTATCTTGAAATACATGCAAGAAATATAAATTCAGGTTTCTCTCAACTGCAATGACAAGAAGCAAAAATGAGTATGGTTGTAATCAAAATATTTCCTTGATATTATCATGCTGTTTAATTATTTGCTGGGAGGAATAAATAATATATTTATGGATTTTTACAGCAGTTTATAAACTAATTTGATACTTTGTTAATAATGCAACTGTGTATCTGTTTCATCTTCTCACGTACTTTCTCTTTAGGAACTAAACTTAGACAGTAGTGGGTTTAAAACTCCCTGTTATGGCATGTTTCACCCCAAAGTTGAATATGAGAAGTTCTAATATGGATAATGTGTTACAGCTGTTTAAGTGCACCTGTTTCCTGCTTGTTAATAAATTTTGGCCCATACTTTGTCTTCATCAGTTCTGTATATTAATGACATTACTGCTCTTTTTAATACTGATCTTGACTTATAAAAGGTGTTTATCTTATTGCTTCGTAGCTCACTGAAATGCAGGCTGAAAGTAGTTATTACAGCCCTCAGAAAGTAAAATCTAAAGAAGTTTTATGCTGGGAACAAGAAGGAACCACAGTTGAGGTAATTTTCCATTGACAGGGGTTTTTTGACTCGTAAATAATGTAGTAAATAGTTACCAATAAAATATATTGAAATTATTTCATTACTGTTTTTTCATGTTTTGCAATATTGGATATATTTGTTGTAATAATCACTTAGATAAAAATTCTTTAAATTTCTAGTGCTCTAGTGATCGGACACTAAAGTAATCCCTTTTAAGTGCCCTGTTTGATTAACTTGCAATTTTTTAAAGCTCTACATGTATAAACCTAAATGTATTTAGGTTCACTTTTCTCCATCTTTTATTTCAGAGGAAAATTCTTCAAAGTATCACTTTTTTTTTTTTCTCACTAGGTCCTTATGAAAGGTGAACTGTTCTTTGATTGCCAAATAGGTTTTGTTGGTTGCCAAGCTATGTGCCTTAAAGGAATTATGGGAATGAAAGACTTTGAAGAGAACATGAATAGGAGTGATGAAGTGAGTATACTGAAATATCAGCTGATGTGCTGAGTAAGCAATTCCGGTACACTTTATTAAAATATTTGATTACCAGAGCTGGAAAGGCTGCTGCTACCAATTACAATTTAAGTTTTTTCAATGTGTCACTGGAATATATAGGACTCAGTATCTGTTCCTAACAGTTAGAAAGACAAGTATCTAAGACTGAGAAGCTCTTTTCTGACACCCCTACTATCTCCCAACATTATGTATGTGTGCATACTTTGATCATAGAATCATAGAATAGCCTAGGCTGGAAGGGACCTTAGAGATCATCTAGTCCAACCTCCCTGTTGTGGGCAGGAACACCACCTCTTGACTAGACCTGGCAAGACATGGGGACCGAGCGGGAATCGAACCCGCGACCTCGGTGTTGTCATTGTTAGCGCCGCGCTCAAACCACTGAGCTAACCGGCCCCCTGTAAGGAATTAAAACACAGTTGAAAACCTTTGAAAGTACTTAAATCAACAGACTACTGGAAAGGAAGAAATGGGAACACTGTATGCTGAGGATAATGGAAGAGTGGCTCAGATACTGAGTTTTTTACCTCATTTTCTCAGTAAGGTTGGTGAGAGCAGTATTAAGTGAAGAAATAAAACAGTATTAATTTCTGTATTTTAAATAGAAGCAAAGCTTCAGTTGCTTAAGATGAAATCAGGTGTCTCTATGAACTACTTTAAAATATTTGATGAAGTATTGCATGCAATTCTAAATTCAGTAACGAGGATTTTCAGTTGAACTATGAGTAGAGTAGTGCCCTAAAATACTGGAAAGCAGCAACTGTGTTTAGCTATTTTTAAATAAAACTAAATAATGCAGCCAACGACAGACCTGTTAACTTGATGTTAATGCTCTGTGAAGTCTTACAGAGTATTGTAAGGAGGAAAATTAAAAATATAGAAGAAAATGTAAAATGACTAATATAACAGCATCGAGTATCTCCTTTGGAAAGGGATCATATACTGTACTGTGATAGGTATGATGACACAGGTTCTTATAATTCCCCTGTGAGAGCAGAATGGTTTGGCATCCATCGTTACACAACTGTGGGGTGTAACGTTGTTTGCATTATACTATATGGCTTTGTTAGATAGGAGAGAGACGTGGTTGGGAATGTGAGGGTGGATGGCAGCCTTGTCTCCAGCACCTTTTGAGCCTGTGAGGTGTAAAATCATGAGGAAAGTGATTTTTGGGTTGGAGTGGGTGGGAGAATGAGTTTTCTGTAAATGAATTGACAAGAGATATTTGGGTTTTTGCTCTTTTTCATTCTTCTGCCACACCCTAAGTTTTGTATTGAAGAAAACCTGCCACACTCTAAGTTTTGAATTGAAGAAAATCTCTGCTTTTATGAGAAAGGTGGTGATGTTGATACTGCCTCACCTGTTCTTTTCCTGAGCTGCTGTAGTTGGGACTATACCTTTCATAAATGTTCCAGCTTTGTTGTATGTGATTGAGAGTAGATGATTGGAAAAAAAAATCAATCTCATGTAAGTAGTCTTTTGGGAAGAATAACACTTGATTGAAAAGTTGTGTAGATTTTGGAAGGATAAACTGTTTAGGATATGGAGAAGGAATGTAAAAATCAAGATAAAAAGAGTGATAAGGTAGCAAGCAAGTAATTGAAATAACTACTCATCATGAAGAGAATCAATAAAGCACCTGGAAGGCATTGGTAAGTCAAAGAAACGGAGTATGTAGTGACAACTCTGTGTATAGTTAAGAGGATAGGGCAGAATTTGGAGTTACAATGATCTGAGTAGTTTTTTCTCTTGAAATGAAACTAGTGTGATCTGTATCATGGGCTGTATAATATTGACTAGTTCAGGCCATTTTTATTAATTTGGAAATGGGGAGGGAGCAGACAGGAACCTCACCTTTCTTAGAATGAAGTTATTTTAATTCTCTCACTTTAATTCATAATGAAATAAGCTCTTGAGGGATGCTACCATATCATTAATATGTTATGACGGGATTGAAACTGCTCTGTTCTCTTGACTGTATTTCTTTTTTTCCCCCCCTGCCTTACTATTTTCTGCTGTCTCGTGAAGGAGGCCTACTTCTTCAGTTGTGGAGAAAATTTAAGTGCAAAAGGCATGACATACCTCACCAATTCACTATTTGATTACAGAAGTCCAGAAAATAATGGTATTCGTGCAGAATTCATATTGGATGCCGCTCATCATAAGGTTAGAAATTACATTTTTCTTAGGAAATTTCTAATGCTCTCCAATTGATTTCTAGTGGTTATTTAGATCTGTGTACTGTTAGAGGAATGATTTTCATTACTTTGCCATTTTAACTCAATCTTGTGGTTTTGAGGTTTTTTTGAAGTAATAAAAACATGTCCAAAAGAAAGCTCAAACTCCCCTCCTACCCCAAAAGCTGAATTAATCCCATAGTAGCACTAGCTACAGAACACCTGCAGAGAAAAATAGAGATATGAGAGAATGCTAACTAAAGGTCAAGCTTTACCAGCACGTACTTCTTAAGCCCAAACACCAAGTAGTTCATGGTCGTCAAATGAAGAAGTGCTTTCTTGGAAACCGGATCTTGGGCAACGTTAGTTTTATTTGTCTGTGTGCTGTATTTGTCTTCTTGGAGGAAGTCTTACTGGTTCTGCCTTTGGTGGAGACAAATTTTTCAGTCACCAATAGTCTCGGTTGTTGTAAACTGTGCAGTAAAACTTTATTCCTTATTGTCTGCAATTATTAAAGACTGGGTGTGATGGACAAAGGTGGTCTCTTCCAGGTGTGTTCATAGGTGGAATTCTGTGCTCTGTGGTATTGTACAGGTAAACGATTTGTAGTTTTGAAAATATCTAATTAGTTTTGAGTGCAAATTTTACTATTTTCACCTTTTTAGTACGACTGATGAAGTGTAGCCCTGAAGAATCTCATAAAAATGAAATTAATTAGTGAAATCACAAGTATTTGTACATATTTAAACATTTCCCATAGTGTTTTAGTTTTAAGCTTTACTTGGCCTGTCTTCAATGCTTTTATAATTTGCCTATTTTTTGACAAGAGGGGAAACAAACTCACTGTGTAATAAAGGATTATACTATGTATAAATCCCAAAGATGGCATAAAGTCTTATTAAGTTTAAAGATAAAACCACAATATTCCTTAAATATAAAAAGGCAGAGTGGATGAGCTTCAGTTTACAGTGCACTTAATTAGGCAGTTCTGTTGGATGCAAGAGGTCAAGTGAAGAATATTTACTCCATTAAAGGTACTAATTAACTGGATGTTGTTGATGAATTGGTCAGCATGTCCACTGGAATTATGGATGTGCTTTTGTGTGGCCTCAAATAGAAGCTACATTACCTATGGGAAAGGTGAATTCTTTGGGATAACCTCTGTCCTTTGTTGTGATAAGCCTTTCCGTGTGTTGATGCACAAATCCAAACATGAATGTATCTCTCTCATACCGACCTATCAGTTGGTAATCTCAAGATTCTTTCCTCATACAACGTTTTCTTTGTTTGCTTTGCTTTGTTGGTAGGAGACATACACAGAGATAGCTGGAATGCAGAGGTTTGGGGCTTTCTACGTGGATTACTTGTACACAATGGAAAGCACCAGTGGCAAAGGTACCTTTTTTGCTTTGTTTACCCTGTTAAATAATATAAACAAAGACTTTTCATGCCCAGCTGGTCCTTGACTAACTGTCCTCTAACTTACCTTAGATTTACCATCAGATTCATCGTTAAAATCTTTTCCTCTTTGTTGATTTGTTTGAGATTAACTGTTTTGGTCAGTTGTTGATTGTTGGTGTTACTCTTTTTCCTTTTTTTTCCTGCATAGCTACTCTTAATGATGTCAGTTGCTAAACTGAAAGCAATTCTCTTGCAGCAGTGGTGAAATTTGTAAAGCATGGTGTCTTTTTTTTTTAAATGTTTTTGTCATTATTGACTTCAGAAAAAAAAAATCTTTAGAGAAACTCTGAAGAATGAAGTTGATGTACATAATTCAGAGGATGAAAAGGAGAGTACAGAGAATTAATCTGTAAACAAACATATCTGAAATTTTTTTTTAACAAATATTAGCCTAAGCCATTCACACACTGATACTGACTAATTCTAAGTAATTTTGAGATTTCTATTCAATTGTCTTCTAATCTGAGACAATGCAGAGGATTCAGTGCAGTAAGTGACCTGGCTTTTGTGACACTTGCGAAAGTAGATATAGAAGAGTTAATGCATCAGCAAGGAATATGTATATATTTTGTTACAGAGATTCTAATCATGATTTGTGGTGTGATTTTTCTGCCAGTCCCTGGCAAGTTTGTCATCTGTAGCTGCTGCTCTGCAGTTTTATTGCCTAAATAATGCTTTCTTCACCACCTATGTATTTATTACCTTGAACGGTGATTCTGTGGATATCTGTTTGGATCTTCTTGCTATTTTGTAACTGAAAGTTTATCTGTCATGCTATCAACTTCTTGGGGCTTTTGCTTATTTTTGTCTCAATGGACAAGAAGTCTCAACTCCTAATGCTTTTGTTTTCTGGACTTGTTGAACATGACGTATAAAAGGAGTAGGAGATAAAAACATCTTTTGACATGCAGAGCTTAGAAAAATAACTAAATGATGCTATTGCCTTTGATAGTACCGTGATACACTAGGTAGTTTAGCAGTTCTTTTCCTGGCCCTGAGGCTTTCTTCTCTGTACCATGAGTGTGATGTGAAGCTGAGAAAATAGTATACATTAAGTCAAGCTTCTACTAGAGTCTACTTCTGGTTTTAATAAAGAAACAACCGTTGAATTGTGTACAAAACCTTTCATAAAAGAAGTTGAAGGGTGAGCCTTATCTCCTTTCTGAATTTTGGTGTGGAAATTTGAATTTGCATTGACTATTTGATTATGAGGGAAAAATTACTGTTGTGGAGTTTTATCTTATTTCTCTGAATGCACAGGGAGAGTATAATGACATATCTTTTTTCTGACTAACCCTTTTCAGAAATTGCCAAACTTGGAGACTTTTTATTTTTTCATCTAGGACAGGGTACTAGTATTTTCTGACTACCTTTTCCCTAGCTGAGCTTCACTTGTGTTTTCTTCAGTTTAATTTCTCAGGGCCTTGGCTTTTATTTTCTGCATCAGTCACCAGGAAAACATCTCAAAAAATACAGCTTGCTTTCATATCAACTCTTGCTGTGACCTTTTGTTTCAGTATTACTCCTCTAATTTCATCTCCCTGACTACATAAAAGAAAGGAATACTTTATTTTTAAATTAATGGCTTAAATGGTGGTTAAAGCCCTAGAATCAAGAACTTAAAACTTTAATTTTTCAGAAAGCTTTGTCCCTCAGAAGAGCAACTGTGAGATTTGGTCCTAGTTATTTTCTACCTAATTTTTCTGTGTTGTGGGTCAAATATATAATTATTAAATAGAACATGAAGAAATAGATGTAAATTATTTCTTTAAAATGAAGGTATATATACTTCAAGATTTTGAAAATATAAACCCTTCTATTTCTAATATGTGATGTTTATATGAAAGGATTTATGTAAAATTTTATGGTTTACTATTTATTTTTTTTGGCATAAACAACATTTTTAATTACAATCAGTGCACACCACATTCCTCTTAAAACACCTAACCCAACTTAAGTCACAGGAGGCAGTTACTGTGATTGTAAGATTTTTATCTGTCAAGGCAATTTTGATTTGACGCGTTCTTTGCACCTTTAACCTTTCCCGAAGCATACGATTACTGATTAAACCACAAGAGCCTCCTGGATAACATTAACCTCAGGAGTTTCATCTGTCATTTAAAGAAGTGCATTAATTACTTCAGTATTTTGAATGAAAACAAGATAGATAGTCATGCACAGTAGTCTTATTTTGAAATTTTGCTTGTCCTTCCATCTTTTTTTTTTTTTTTTCAGTTAGAATTAGACATGTACTTTATAAAGAGCTGAATATTCAGTGGTCAGAAATTATTTTCCTTTATGCGTTTGTGAAGCTTCAGAAATAACCTGTGATCACCTGCTTCTGTAGAACCAATAGATTTTGCATCACCTTCTCTTTGCACTTAGAATTAAATTGAATTGTTCCAGCAAGGGATAGTATAAATTCTGTCACTTTGGTATATTATTCATATACATACAATATGTACAAGTGAGTTTGTTTTTTTTTTTTAATGATTGGCTGTTATTACTTTCAAAGACTTTTTTCCTTGGTATTTTTTATGTGATATTATGTTCTTTTGCAGTTCTTGATAGTGTTTCTATCTGAACTGTATAGCCTGTAGATTTGAAATGATAAAAATGTGCGTTAACTGCATATTATTAAGTAAATAATATCCCTGACAGGAGTCAGTATGCTTTTTTAAAAAAAAGTCTTTTTCAGGATTTGTTAAAAAGATTTTAACTTCATTTCCATCTGATGATTTCAAAAGGTTATTTTTCTTCTCAGGAATAGTAAACAGACACCAAGGGAAACAGAGGTTATAAATGCTCTCACCATCAACTTCAGTTGGGTTTTGGAGACAAAATTAATTCTTCTTCTAAGTGTATAGGCCTGCGGAGCATTAGGCCAGCTTTGCATCAAATTCATCATATTCTTCGTTTATTTGAGGACCTTTCTCCTTGCCAGTGCTTAGAAGCAAGATCGTTTTAGAGAGAAAAAAAAAATCAGATCTTTCCTTTGTCTTCTCTGAAGCTTGATTCCTCTGTTAAAAAGACTGTACAATGATGGAGGGAGAGAAACGGAAGTGTTCCTCTGGAGGACTAGGTTCTTCTTGGGCAACCAGAAGTAAAACGTGCTTTCTTCCAGTTGATTTGAAAGTAAGATTTGCCTTGAATGTATGAAGCACACTATGCCAGGCTACTTAACCACAAAACCTCAGCTACTTAACCACTAAAACTCAGCTACTCAGGAGCTGACAGATCCTACATCTCTTTGACTAAGTGGGTCGGTCAACCGTCTGTAGCAGCTGCATCTCCCAGTGTCCAATCTGACAAGCTGAGCTTGTCTTGCCATTTCTCTTAGTACAGACAGATTGTGCCAGTAAGGAAGGCAACATAATGAGAATTTGGAATTGTCAGATTTTACTGTGCTTTTGTGTCATAGTTCTCTTACAGATGTGTTGAGTTTGTTACTGTCACAGGAGGGCAGGAGGTTATTAGATTTATATGAGGAAATAGGTTGATTTGTACCCAGGTAGATAGATGGGTGAAAGGTGTACGAGATCTGCGTTGAGTAAGAGCTTAGAGATGACTTGAAAAATATTACTGTTGAGAAAGATCATCGTGGAAGGAGTCAGTCCACTGCTTACACAGCCTTTGGTTTCTGTGGCATGACTTGATCATGAGTACAAGGAGAACATGTCAAATGGACAGCTCTGCAAATGCAGATGTGTTAGGTTATGGAAAAGGTGAAATTGATGGCAGTGACTGTGCTTTTCCTGGCTTTCCTTTTTGTCAGAGCTTTGGCTGGTGGATTATAAAGTACTGTGCTGCCAAAGGAGTATGCATTATCAAGATTCACTGAATGAACTGAATTCTTACTACAGTTTTATCTCGGAACTTGTTCTTTTTTATAGTTTAAGTGGTCTCAGAATCCATTTAATCTTGATGCTTGATATCAGACTATTCATTTGTGCAATAAGTGAGACATTTAATGTTTAGAACTTGTGCCAAATCAATGAAGACACTGTCAAAGTGATGATTTACTAGAAAAAAATTCTGAGTGAAATTGTGCAAGCTAAGTATGTTACAGGGTTGAGGGCATTCTTTTACAAGTCATATGTAAAAGGAAAACTTAAGCTTGTGAAATTTCCATAATTTCATTGAAGAATTTCCGGGAAGTTTAGAGAAATATAATCATGTTGTTTGATAGCTGATAAGCAGCCTATATACAGTGAATATGTGGTTTTGGTCTACCTCCTTATCTTACATCTGTGCCAGAAAAACAATAGCTATATGTTAATTGATACACTAGTTGCTATTCTGGGCACAAAGCTTCTAGATCTTTTGGATGCACAGACTAAACCACGCTTTTATCTCTGTGGCGATCCTTCTAAATGGTCTGAGACAACGATTAAAGAAGTTTTCATTCTTGCTGGCTGTGCTTTACCTCATCAGGGAATGGAGGGGAAGGGTTTATCTTCAGTTGTCAGTCTGGCTTATGACAATAGAAGTGAGTGGGATTCTCATGGCTTTTCTAGCCCATGTACCAGCAGCTAACACGCCAAGGGCCTGTATCTGTTAGCTTCTTTGCAGCACACCTTTTCCTTGATTGTTTGGGATGGATACCTCTGTGATCAGGAGTAGCAAGCTTTGAGTGGCACAACTGTCATTGGCACCTGGGTTGCTACAGAAGTTTGGACAATTTCAAAGAGTCTCCAGCTTCAGAGATACGAAGTTAATGGAAAAGTTCTTAAGTTCTACTGTGCTTGGAGGCAAGGCAGAATCTTGCCCTGTTTATTCTGCATTAAACAGAAATAATGTTTGTTTAACCACGTTAAACCAGTCATGGTATATTTACGTGTTCAGCGTGCGTTGTTATGTGTTCTCTTATGTGATGTCTCTGATCCCAAGTTTTGAAAGAAAAGTAGCTGATAAATTTTATTATACCTGAATATTTGGTATAATTTGTTATTTGTAAAATTTCTTGTAGCTCCTGGGAATCAGCAAGACCTTTCTTCAGTAAAGAGTGAAGATTTCGGAAATGTTCAAGAGATGTCTACAAAAAGCCTAATTGTCGGCCCACTCAATCTTCGGTTGGATAGCAGTGCGGTGCACCGGATAATGAAAATGATAGTTTGTGCTCTGGAACATGAATATGAACCATACAGCAGAACTAAGCCAGGTTTGTACTGTTGTATATACGCAAATATACAGAATTGAACCAGACCAAATTCAATCCTTTTGAAGAAGCAAGTTCCAAACAGTTAAACTTCAGATCTGTTAAGGGACTTTATGCTTCCAAAGAACAAAATTTAAGATAAAGATCAAATTAACTGCAGTATACCTGTCAATGTTGGATATATGTCAGACAATTTTGGACACTTTGTAGGCTGTTTGTTTCAGTCACAAGCCTCTTGTTGAGTAAGGGGGACTTATTTCATTGATGACTCTAGCTTAATTTTGGAGTCTTCTCTAAGAAAATCTCTCTGCTGGTATGCATTTATTAGTTTGAAACAATAGTTATACAGGGTAAAAACACATTTAAACAAGCTACGCTAAACTGTTATGCTTAGTTTTTGAGAAAGAGCTGTGCAGATTTCAAAGTAGGGGAAATGCAATTATTATTTCATTTAGCCTTACATAGAACCTGTGTAGAATAAAATTATTAACTGTGAAGGGGTGGGAGAGGGGGGCAAGCTTTCAATTTTTTGGTAGACCTTGACTATTTCTAAAGCAGCAACTGGAACCTTTTATGTATTTCAGTCAAATATATGTGATCTTGATTTATTATAGATATTATGGATCCAAACAGAACTATGCCAAGCTCAGAAGAAGTGGCATCATTGGAGGAATACATTCCCACTCGACTTACAGTGTTCACTGTTCTTAAGTGTACAATTATAATCCCTGTGGCAGAATTCAACCTACTAGACCACTTAATGCCTGTAATCATGGGTGAGAAGGTATGTATACACAGATATTCATTCAGTTCATTATATCAGCATATTTCAGATAAATTTTCTTGCAAGGCAGTTACTCCATGTGCCTACCGTATTACCGAGTGCCAAATCGGTTTGGTGCTTATGAGCCTTACCTCCAGATACCTAAGACAAGTGATGTGTGGAGTGACTAGCTAGACTTGTAAGCTCAAGGTGTTGTGTACTAGTAAGAATAAAGAGATTGGAAGAAAAAAGACTTCAAAGCATAATTGGTATTTTGTAGTGAAGCCTTGCAGTAGGTTTACCTCGTGACAGAGGCTGGATGGTATTTTATGGATAAGAGAAAGGATGGGAAGAAGAGGAAAAAAAAAATCAATTATTGATTGAGTTCAGTTTCTAGGAAGTTAGATCTGATATTAAACACTTAAATGTGTTTTTTTACAAGTGGACAATAAATATATGTTCCTTGTACTTGAGCATGATCGTTTTTAGTGGGATGTGTTTTGCAGAAATTTTCAATATCTGTGGATTCATTTAAAGCAATCAAAGTTGGGCTTTTATTTGTGGAGTACTGTGCTACGCTAAATATGCAAAAAATGACGTTCAAATGGACTTCAGAATTAGAGAATTATTTTTATATCAACCTTTCTTTTCAATGATAGTTTATTGTCTCAAGTGGAGATAGAGCTGTATATTCTAAAGGTGTAGTGAAAGTAACCTTATTAGTATTTGTGAAGGATTTATATGCAAGAAAGATGAAAGACATTTGAAAAAGGTTTGGTTTCTTCCCCCATAGCACCTACTATGAGATGGTTTTGAAGGAAAAATGACATTGGGGTATCTTGATAACATAGGAGATACCTCCTGACTATGGCACTGCTGTCTAACTTGTGCTGGATTTTCTTATAGAATTTGTTTATTTGCAGCATATTTATGTGATTTAAGATTGTATGAGTATGCACAAGAGGACAAAGTAAAGAAACTCTTAATTTATGGTGTTTCTTACAAGTGTGCTTATACAAACCATTTTCATTGGTGAAGTACTGTAACGTACACAATACTTCACTTAGATTACTAGTCTCTAGGCTGCCACGTATAAAATTTCAAGCACATGCATTTATTCAGCGAGTGTGCTTAAGGAATGTGTATCTCTTTCTTAAATGTGGACTGCTTATCTTTTCAGTTAAGCTGGCTGAAGTGAGTGAACTGGTGACAAATCTGTTATCTCTTTTTTGTATTAAGATACATTCAGAAAGTTCTAATACTAGAAAATGAGACCTTGCCAGGGACCTAATGGGAAATGCTGTTTTCTTTCACTTGTGAGCTATTGTGGTGTTTACCTTATGGGCATGGGAGGATGATGTTTTTGTAATGGGAGAACAGCCCCATATTTATTTTAGGTTTGAGGCAAACAATTGGAATTCAAGTGAACTCTTTGGCTATTTTTTTTTTTACTTGGAGTTTAAATTTGCATTTCCTGAGTTAAGCCAAGCCTATTAAAAATAATAATAATTGAGTTTTAGATTGAAAGTCATACATGCATCAATTTACTGATGTATTTTGGTACAAGCATAATAATTTCTGGATTCATAGATTAGTTTGGATTAGAGTTCTCTGGAGATGATCTCCAGGAGACCAACATCCTGCTCAAAGCAAGACCAAGTGTAGCAGGTTGCTCCAGGGCTTGTCCAGTCAGGGGCTGAATTAGCTCCAGGAATACAGATTCCTTAAAAAGCTTTCCCATAGACCTGCTTGAAATTGCCTGTGTTTCAGCTTGAGTCAGTTGTCACTTATCCCCTTGCACTACATTTGACAAGAGTCTGGCTTCCTCTTCTTACCCTCCCAGTAGGTAGCTGTAGACATCATTAGGATCTCCTTTTGGTCCTCTCCATGCTGAATGACTCCACAGAATCACAGAATGCTAGGAGTTGGCAGGGACCTCGAAAGACCTAGCTCAACCCACCTGCCAAAGCAGGATCACCTAGAGTAGGTCACACAGGAATGTGTCCAGGCTGTTTTTGAATGTCCCCAGAGAAGGAGACTCCACAACCTTTCCGGACAGCTTTTGCCAAGTGCTCTGTCACCCTCACAGTAAAAAAGTTTTTTCCTAATGTTTTTGTGGAACCTCCTGTACTCCAGCTTGCACCTGTTGCCACTTGTCATTGGACATCACTGAGAAGAGTCTGGCTCCACCCTCCTGACACTCACCCTTGACATATTTATAAACCTTATTCAGGTCACCCCTCAGCCTCCTCTTCTCCAAGCTAAAGAGACCCAGCTCCTTCAGCCTTTCCTCATAAAGGAGATGTTCCACTCCCTTCATCATCTCTGTGGCTCTGCGCTGGACTCTCTCAAGCAGTTCCCTGTCTCTCTTGAGCTGAGGGGCCCAGAACTGGACACAGTATTCCAGATGTGGCCTCACCAGGGCAGAAGAAACTCTCTCAACCTAGTAGCCACACCCCTTCTAATTCTAACTACAGTTGTCTCACTCTCTCCTAAGAGAGGGCTCATGTGCTCCAACCTCTTAACTGCTTTGGTAGCCCTCCAACAGACTTATTCTGGTATATCCGTGATATAGTACCAGATACAGTACTTCACTTTAATGGATCCTATGAAAAAATAGTTGGATGTGTAAATTTGCAGCATTTATTTTTTTGGAATGGCACCTTCTTTTGTCAAGGTGTCTGACATGACTGTGAACACATAATATATGACATTGTAAACGTTAGGTCAGCATGAGATGAGCATGGTGATAGTGTGTTGGAGTGATAAAAATGTAAACAAATACTTTATAGAACAAAATATTTTGACTTTGCATATTCTTGTAGTGGGTTGACCTTGGCCAGCTCCCAGATGCTCATCCGTCTGCTCTGTCACTCCCTCTCCTCGACAGGGCAGGGGGAGTTGAATAAGATGAGTTGAGATGAGAGGGAGATCACTTACCAGTTACAGACTTGACTTGGGGACAATTTAATTTATTGCCAATTAAAATAGTTTTGGATTGTAAGAAACTGACAAGAATTAAAATAACACTTTCCCCCATCTCCCCTTTTTCCCCAAGTTCAACTTCACTCCTTCGTTCTCTGACTCTTCCACCTCCCATCCTGCAACACAGGGATAATTGGGGGTCACTCCATAACACTTAATCTTTGCTACTCTTGTTATCTCATTTTTCCCCTGCTCCAGTGTGGGTCCTTCCCAGAGGCTGCAGTCCTTGAGGAAAAGTCTGCCGCGGTGTGTGCTCTCCACGAGGCTGCAGTGTCCTTCAGGGCATATCCACCTGCTCCAGTGTGGGCTGCATGTCCTCCATGGGCTGCAGTGTGAATATCTGCTCTGGTGTGCACTGCTGGGCAGTCTCTGCTTTGGTGTCTGGAGTGCCCTCTCCTCTCACTTATTCTATGACCTTACCGTTCATGCAAACCTCATGAAGTTTAACAAGGCCAAGTGCAAGGTCCTGCAGCTGGTTTGGGGCAGCCCCAGGCACAAATGCAGGCTGATGAGTGGATTGAGAGCAGCTCTGTGGAGAAGGACTTGGGGCTGTTGGCAGAGGAAAAACTGGCTATGAGCCAGCATGTGCTCTTGCAACCCAGAAAGCCAATCTCATCCAGGGCTGCATCAAGAGAAGCATGACCAACAGGTCAGTGGAGGAGTTCCTCCCCATTCTGGTCTCATGAGACCACCCTGGAGTACTGTGTTCAGCTCTGGGACCCCCAACATGAAAAGGACATGGACCTGTTGGACTACGTCCAGAGGAAAGCCACAAAGATAAGGGCATTGAAGCACTTTCCCTATGAGGATAGACAAAGAGAGTTGGCTTTGCTCAGCCTAAAGAAGAGATGGCTCCAGGGAGACCTTATAGCAGCCTTCTAGTACCTGATTGGGGGGCCTACAGGAAAGACAGGGAGGGACTCTATATCAGGGAGGTCAGTAAAAAACTGGCCAAAATTAAATGTAAAAGGGGACTACACAGCATGTGGAAGCAAGGACTGGTAACTTGGGATGATTATAAGGAAGTTACTTGGGAAATCAGAAACCAGGTTAGGAAAGCTAAGGCTCTGACAGAGTCATTTCTGGCCAGGTACGTTAGAAATAACAGAAAGAGATTCTTCAGTTATGTGAGAGAAAGGAGAAAAGCTAGAGAGAGTGTGGGGCCTCTCCGAAAGGGTCTAGGCAACCTGGTTACTGAGGATATAGAGAAGGATGAAGTACTCAGTGATTTTTTTGCATCAGTCTTCACTGGTAACCACTTGAGCCACACCACCAAGTCACAAAGGCCATTGGCTGGGAGAATGAAGAACCACCCAGAATAGGAGAACATCAGGTCTGGGAACACCTAGAGAACCTGAAGGTGCACAAGTCCATGGGACCTGATGAGATACATCCACGAGTCCTGAAGGAACTGGCGGCTGAAGTTGCTAGGCCAAGCCATCATATTTGAGAAGTCCTGGCAGTCTGGTGAGGTTCCCACAGATTGGCAAAGGGGAAACATAACCCCCATTTTTAAAATGGAAGCAAAGAAAACCCAGGGAACTACTGACTGGTCAGCCTCAACTCTGTGCCATGTAAAATCATGGAGCAGATCCTGCTGGTAGCTGTACTAAGGCAGATGAAAAATAATGAGGTGATTGGTGGCAGCCAACATGGCTTCACTAGGGGCAAATCGTGTCTGACTAATTTGGTGGCTTTCTGTGACAAAGCTACAGTGGTGGTTGACATAGGAAAAGCAACTGATGTCATTTACCTGAACTTGTGCAAGGCATTCAACTCTGTTCCAAATGACATTCTTGTCTCTAAGATGGAGAGACATGGACTTGATGGCTGGACCACTCAGTGGATAAAGAACTGGCTGGAAGGTTGCACTCAAAGAGTTGTGGTCAACAGCTCAATTTCCATGTGGAGACCAGTGACAAGCGGAGTACAGTCTCTTCAACAAGCTGAGTCCAGTGCTGTTCAACATCTTTGTCAGTGACATGGACAATGGCGTTGAGTGCACCCTCAGTAAGTTTGCTGATGACACCAAGCTGTGTGGTGCCGTGGACTCACTTGAGGGAAGAGATGCCATCCAGAGGGATCTTGACAGGCTTGAGAAATGGGCCAGTACAAACTGCATGAGCTTCAACAAGTCAAAATGCAAGGTCCTGCACCCAGGCTGGGCTAATCAAATACAAACTGGGCACAGAGTGGGTTGAGAGTATCCCTGAAGAGAAGGATTTAGGGCTGTTGATAGATGAGAAGCTCAACATGCTCAACGAGCTGGCAGTGTGCTTATGCAGCCCAGTAAGCCAACCTTGTCCTGCGAAACATCAAGAGAAGCGTAGTCAGCAGGTCAAGAGAGGTGATTCTCCCCCTTTACTCTGCTCTTGTGAGACCCCACCTCGAATACTGCGTCCAGTTTTGGTGCCCCCACCATAAGAGGGACATGGATCTGTTGGAGCGTGTTCAGAGGAGGCCACAAAGATGATCCAGGGGCTGGAGCACCTCTGCTACAAGTACAGGCTGCGGGAGCTGGGATTGTTCAGTCTTGAAAAGAGAAGTCTCCGGGAGGACCTTATAGCTGCCTTCCAGTACCTGAAGGGAACCTACAGGAAGGATGGGGAGGGACTTTTTCCAAAAGTATCCACTGTTAGGACAAGGGGAAATGGATTTAAATTAAAGGAAAAGAGATTTAGATTGGATCTTAGGAAGAAATTCTTCAGTACGAGGGTGGGAAGACTTTGGAATAAATTTTCTGGAGAAGTTGTGGATGCTCCCTCTCTGGAGATGTTCAAGGCCAGGTTGGATGAGGCCTTGAGCAACCTGGTCTAGTTGAGAGGCATCCCTGCCCATGGCAGGGAGGTTGAATTAGATGATCTCTAAGGTCCCTCCGAACCTAGGCCATTCTATGATTCTGTAATTTAGATAAGGTATTTGCAAGAAGTTCCTTTCTGTGAGGATGATGAGACACTGGAACAGGTTACCCAGAGAAGGTGTGGATGCCCCCTCCCTGGAAGGGTTCCAGGCCAGGCTGGATGGGGCTTTGAGCAACCTGGCCTAGTGGAAGGTGTCCTTATCCATGGCAGGGGAGTTGGAACTGAACGATCTTTCAGATCCTTCTCAAACCAAACCATTCTATGATTGCTGTTTCTCACTTTTTTTTTTTAAAAAAAAAAAATCCTGGAGTCCTTTCAGCCTGTGTGACATTTTGCCCTTACTTAAATATGTTTCCACAGAGATGCCACCACCTTGGCTGATGGGCTCACCAGTGTCCTGCCGTGGGGCTGTTGCATCCCCCTGGTCTCCCCTTACAGAGGCCATCCCTGCAGCCTCCCCACTGCCAGCACCTGGCCACCTACACCCAAGAGTGTTCTTGATAAAAATTTTATACATGAATTTTAAACTTAAGTTCTTTTGAAAAGATTTGAAGATTCATATTGTTAATGACCAGAAAGCTATGGCATCTATAAACAGTTTATTGCATGCAAATGTACTTTTGTGAGTGTGTGGAGGTAAGTATATGTAAAAATGGTAGACATTACATCTGTAGTTGTAATAATTGCATGTTTTTCTCCTTCCTCCCCTAGAACTTAAGTGGACTGTTAAGTGCTGCAAGTTTCCAGCCCCTGCGACCTTTACCTTCCATCCGCATTTTGGTGGATAAGGTTAACCTGGAGCACTCGGTGCCGATGTATGCTGAGCAACTGGTGTACACAGTCAGCAGCCTCGGCCAGCCATCCGACAACCTGCTTCATTACTGTTACTCACACTGCTATCTGAAGGTAAAAGAGGGCTTTGAGATTTGTTTCGTATTGCAGTGTGCTGAGAAAAAGTTTATATAAATATTGATAATCCTAAGTGTTAGCAGGTTTCTTGGGAGAAAGTTTTTGGCTTATCTAAAAGGATGTAAACGTGTTTCACAGAATGTTTGGGATTGCTGCTTCTCACCTGAGCCAGATGTTTTGTAATGTGACAGATAACATCACATGAGGAAACTGTGCAGACTCAAGTGCCAAGGTCTTTGTTACAAGATTGGATTAAAATAATTTGGGAAGAAACCTTTCCCCTCCTCTAGGATAATGCTTATAGAATATGTAAATTGCACACTTAGTAATTTCATGGGATATTATAAGGAAAATTCATCACTTTTAGTGGTATTAATAGAGCAAATCCACAATAGTTAAGGTGTGCAATCAAAAACTGTTGCCAAGTTTAAGAAGCTACAGAAAAATAGCTCTGAGATTATTCAGTTACCATCTGCTGAGGTTTTGTGGAATGAAAGAAATCATATCTCAAGAGGAGTTTTGAAACAGGCCTTCTAGCCTTTTAGGATGTGCTTGGGCAGTTTGAAACCTTTTGGGTTCTAACAAAATGTAAATATTTACTACCAGTACTGTTAATTTTGATAATTTTTTTAGTCATTCATTCTGTGCTGATATCTCAATAGAGATTTAAACAGTCAAATTCTTAACTATCTGCATTAAACAAAATCTGTCTCAAAATTGGATGGAGTTCAGTTTTCTAGTTGACATTTACTTGCTCATGTTTAATGTGATGACAGTGTTGCAAGTCAGCTGTATGTTTTTCAGTTTCAGGAGATGTTTTTCTATGCAAAAAGTTTTTAACAGTGGTTAGATCAGGGTGTGCAAAAGGTGGACTTCAAGTTTGAGTTTTGTAGGGCTTATTTGCTAGCTTTAATATGTGAGCATGTTAAAAAAAGTCACTCTACAACCCTTTGTTTTCCATGTTGAACAAGGGAAGAATCATAGAATAGTTGTGATGAACCTTTCTTTAGATGCTCTTATTAAGAAAAAAACTTTGAGGGGAAGCTTCTAAATTTCTTAAATACCTCTTTTTTTAGGCCAGTGTTGTTATAATTACAAAAATTCATTTCATTTTGTATCAAACACAATGTGCACTCTGCAGTTTTAAAGACTATAGAATAATGTATTTTAGTTGCTAAGTAATAATTCAATTTTTAAAAATTCAGCAGTTACTTGCTTCACTCAAAAATTAAGTACTATGTTTACATGTATCCCTACTGGGACATTATCTTAGGTAGATCTTTCTAGTTTGTGTTTTGGTGAAAATAAATGATCTAAAAAAATTACACAATTTATTTCATATTTATCAAGTTTATTTAGAAATGTGTATATATCTTATGTTACTTGATAGTGTACCCACTTTATTTGTTTCAGATATTTGGTTTTCAAGCAGCACTGACTTCTCTGGACAGTAAAGGATTGTACTGCTTCCCCGTTCCAGTTATCCCCTCACTCAGTACGGCTCTTTATGGCAAGATGATCAAGTTTCCCAAATACTGGTGAGCATTAAGCATGTACAGTGTATTTAACTAATGTACTCCAATTACTTTTCTGTTTCTAATGAATGATTTAGAAGTGCCAAGCTCCATATATATCCTGAAACTTCTCTGTCTCTTCTATCATATTTTATTATTAAGTCTGTTATCATTAATAAATTTGTTTGTAAGGATAAGGGTTAATAAACATTTTAGACTCTTGTCTGTTTGAGAGAACAGGGTCTAAAATGTATATAGCTTTCTTCTAGACCTTGTAGAATTGTGTGAACCAGGCTCCCATTCAGTACAAAAGCTGAAGTTACATACTGATGACAAACTTGATTTGTTTAACTGAACAGGTCAGCTCTTTTTCTTTTAAACTGAACAAAATAAAAAGCAACAATTGAGGGGGGAGGGAAACCCAACCCTCCCAAGTGCCCCAAACCCACATAAAGTTTACTCATTGCAGTTACTTGATTCAGTTGGAAGTGTTTTAACATGATTATCAGGTGTTAAGCTGTTTGTAGTAGTTGAGATTTTTAAATGAATTTTTAACACATCTGTTCTTAAAACAATTCTGTGCTTTATTATGAAATAAGCTATATACTCTTCTTTTTTGTTTCAAAAGAAACTCTAATGCTGTGGATATTCAATGTTTAAATTTAGCTCCACAGTTTAAATCTTGTGAACTTATGTCAGTGTGTAGTGTAATTTTTCTTTATTATTATTAAATTGTATTTATAAACTATTTTCAGAAAGATATGTTTTGGCAATACCTTGGACCGGACATTAGTTTTCTTTATCCCTTGTTTTGAGCAGTTAGCTATCTGTAATACTACTTTATGACAAATATGAGGAATCTTACTTAAAATGACAAGATAAGAGGAATAGAGGTTAATGTGTTAAATACTTTGGCTTCAAACATTCTGTGTTGTAGAGCTAATTTCTAACATCCATTTGTTTGTGAAACTTTAATGGCTTATGAAAAAAAACAACGTTCTATGTCTGTGTTTGCTCTTAGTGCTGCATAGAGAGTATATTAGTTTTTCTCTCACAAGCTGTGTTACTGTGTTAAATATAAGAGGTTTATAGCATAATGAGCACACCACCAGGTGGTAGCAGCTTAATTGACTTTCTCATATTTTCCATCAATAGTTTACAAAAGTCCTAACTACTTCAAATGAATTGCTGTGCTGTTGCAGCGTTTTGCTGAAGAATAGTGTTACCAGGATACCCCATAATCAGCACTGATCAGAGTACATCGGTACTCTGTCAGGACTGGCAGCTTTTCCTGACATGACCTGACATTTAACACTAAGCTCTGGCTCGTGAACCTTGTTAGTAAACTGTAGAAGTAAATTAGCATTTAATGGTAAGCTGAAATTTATTTACCACATTATAAAAGCCATGGTTAGTTTTGCAAAATAAAAAAAAAATACTCGAGAGATGGAAAATAGTTGAAAAAGATCTGCAACTTGACAAGTTCATGGTAGGTTAGTGCTTTCTCATGAGTGCACTTGTGCTCTCTTCTGTGTGTGCTTGTGCTCGCTGCGCTCGATCTCGTGCTCCCTCACGCTGGGCTTCTCGTGTTTTTCCATGTGCGCTGTTACACGCTTGCCATCCTGCTCTGTCTTGCATGCACGACCTCGCACTCACATTCTTTCTTGGTTGTTCTATGCTTCTCTCTCATGCTTTCTTTCTTGCTCACTTTCTCTCTCTTTTTAGAAACCCTGTTGTATTACCATGCGTGCCCAGCTGGAAAATTGACTGTGGTAGAGTAAGAACATAGGAAAACAAAAACAACCAGTTTTGAGGAGTGGAGGGAGGGGAATGCTGTTGTCTTAAAATAGTAAATCATCTCTTGGCACTTATTGTGGTCTAGTGTATTTTAAAAGAATTTTAATAGCTTTCTCACATTTTTTCCTGATCCATCTTTCTGAAGTTTATTTATTTATTTACAGTGTGAAATTATTTTATAAAACTAACTTATCCCAACAATTTATCTGAACTAAGCAACACCAATTTGCGGGTAATAAAGTAGAAAAACAAATGAGTACAGCAGCAGCCTGGTTAAATGAAGTGTAGTTTGAAGTGAATAAAACTCCAGATGAAACGCATCAAATAGCACTTGAACTAAATCGAAATCAGCATGAGGACTGAGAGCGTCATTGAAGTCATGCAGTGAGTGAGAATTAGTCTGGTAGGATAACCTGGTAATGTCATTAAACTTAAATTCAGTCCTCCCCCCCCCATTATACCACCTGCTTTATTTGGATTTTTAGATTTCACATTCCAGAGTTTCTTAAAGTACACACATATGATGCTACATATGTTCTTCTGTTTCTTCATAGAAAATATATACTGCAGACCATACCTTTTAAAAACAAAGACATTTTATGAACTGTTATAGAATCCCCCAGGTAGTATGTTTTGAGTTAACAGTGAAAATCTCAACTTTATTTCTTACATAAATCAGTAGAGTAGCTTTCTTTTCTAGTTTCAGTATATTAATCTCAAAATCTATATGGTGTATAAAATATGTAGTAATATTTATTTTGTTTAAAGTAGTTAATAAACATTGGTAGCATGTTTTAACAGATAAAATTTCAGCAACATAAGCTCAGGAAATTCCAGTAAATAATCATAAACATTACAAAAGTGTTGTTTTTGTTTACCAACTAGATTGATGTGGTTTAATTTCAGTTAATGCTCAAGCTCACCAGCTAAGTAAGTCTTGGACATCTTTTAAATTGTGTAGCTAATTCATTTTTATATGAAAGTAAAAACATCTGTTTTTTTTTCTTTTGTCAGGCATAACAAGATGCAAAATACAATGTTAATGTCAATATTTTACAAACACTTTATGTAGTGTTGCATGCCAGATTGTAAAGCAGCTTTCAAAGCTTTCAGGAGGATGTCTAAAACCAACTGAGAATTAACAGAATATAGTTAAAAGCCTGGAGTAAGTGAAAAGAATGTTTATTGCCAAACAGAAATCTTGAGAAGAATTAGCTGTTTTTTCTTTCTTTGTTTCTTTTTTTCCTTTTTTTTTTTCTTTTGCTACAATTTCTGTGGTAACAGATGAGGTAACACTCAAGTGTTTTACACAGGATTATAGCCCTCTCATTTATAAAATGTCACTCTATTGTACTTCTGAAGAATATTAAAGTGACATTGACGAATATAGATTCTGAATAGCCTTCCTTTGTCTTCTTTTCTTGTCTGGATTGATAATGATGAGTGTAATCTGTTTATTTTGAGCTAGATATTGGTGAAGTTACGTGTGTTATTTTGTTAGTTTGCTTCTCTTGAGCTATCTTCCCTAAATTCCCTTCCTGTGACAAGTGTTCTTCGTCAAGTAGTCTACTTTCAAGGGGTCTATTTCCTTGATAATGAGTCTCCTCTTTCTCATTTTGAGGCCACAGCAATAGCTGCTGGTTTGCTGTCTGCAAGGAGGCACCAGAGCGGACTTGACTAAAGCTGGTTGTGTTAAATTTGAGTGTGTGAATAAACATTTTATGAGCAGGTTGAGGACCTGCTGGGTGAATTAGTATCTAGGATTTCATGGCCTGGACTTTAATTATTAGAGAGTACAGAGCAGTTAATTGACTGTTGTTGAGCTGTTATGAGAACACAAACTTGCAGGTAGATCTAGATAATTACTGGTAAACAAACAGAAAATTTTGAGAGACTAAATGGGATATAATTTTTATGCTGATGCTTTCTTTCGAGCTGTTCTCTGCAGATAAGGTCTTAGGAAATAAATTTTACTTTAAACATAGCGTGCTAATCTTAGTCAAGCAGTTTCTGATAAAGAAGGATTCTTGATGACGTGAGGCTCACTTTGTGTTGGTGTTGTGTCTCTTCAGTGTTTTTATTGAAGAGCTAATCATTATTGCGATAAGATATGCTCTGCTATTAAATGAAGTCACGTGTATCATGCTGGGCACCTCAGCTGCTCAGAGATATGATGTCATTGGTTTTGCTGGTGAAAGCTGTGGATTACACTCTTGACATACTTATTTTATAAGTAAGTGCCCTCACGGTACTGAAAGATCACTACAGAAATCTCGATACAGAGATCCTCATGTGGAATATACATGCCTATTTTCTGTAGGCTTTGTTTTTATGAACCCATTAGAACATTTATGTAATATAGCTGTTCTTAATATTTCAACACAGATCTAACTGTTAATATTTACTATGTCTCTAGAATCAGTGATAATTACATTTAATTGGCATGTTAGGTTGTAACCTCCTTTCTGGCTAACTGTTGTGCAATGATATTGACAAGCACACTTTGCCAGCAATCTGAGCATCAGCATTTTGTAATTTCTTACCTGACTTGCTAGCTTTTGTTTTGACTTTGTCACTGTGTAGTTGCCGAAGGCGTGCTTTGTATGCATAATTTAGGTTAACTTTAAAAATTTCTAACATTAATATTACAATACCTATGTTATTACTGTTTAGATTTCTACTAAAACTTTTTTTTTACTGTAAAGCTGTTTGTGTTTTTATACAGCTTTACTTCCATTTTCTTTGATCATTACAAGGCAAACATCCCTCTCAGTCAAAGTCATGTAGAGGTATGCCATACAACTGTATTCTTACTGGCAGCATTCGGTGCTAGATTCCTTACACAATCCAGTAAGGTCGTTGCAGGCTCCAGTGTGAGTCGGGATGTGCACCTGCTCATGTGTGCTTTATGGGTCATCTTGAAAATCCTGTGTGCCTTTAACGACATCACAATGAATCGACCAGAGTATGAGCAAGTCATGTGGATCCAGTTTGGTAGATGAAGATCTGGCTACTTGCACAGTTAGAAGGTCTTTAGCAAGAAAATTAGCTCCTGCTACTGTGGCCTTTACCAACAAGGTATTACTGAGATGACAGCAGGAGATGTTAGATTTCCTGCTCACTGAAGAGAGGATTAAAAGTGTATAGTAGGGCATCAGGTGAACTCTCTTGCTTTTTTGTTTGAAACATCTTCGCAGGGCACATCCAGTGCAGCAGTGCTGCTTAAA